CGGATCTCTGTGAGTTCGAGGCCAGCCTGGGCTACCAAGTGAGCTCCAGGAAAGGCGCAAAGCTACGCAGAGAAACCCTGTCTCGAAAATCCAAAAAAAAAAAAAACTTGACCTGTAAAGATTGAATTCAAGACTAAGTCTTGAATACATGAACCATTAGGGGACATTTCATATCAAAATTATGACAAACACTACAGAGAATCTAATTTGATGACAAGAGATCAAATGTGTAATAAGCCTAACATAGAAGCAGATAAACAAACACAGATCATTTGTATGGTGTCTTACTCATCCCATTGTGTAAGCTATGAGCTTAGGAGACTTTTCTCACCCATCTCACGTGATTTCCTTAGCTTGCCAAAGGCATTTCTTTGACATATTAACTCTAACTATGGCTCCATACCTTGACTATTCTAGTATCCCATGGCCTAGTGTTCCCATAATTAAGCCTCACATGTTCTCCAGCTCCCTACACTCCATCTTGCAATCTTTTAAGATGCAAAAATCTATCACTCTTGTGCAATGTGTATGCAGCTTTTCACTGAATTCCTTTTTTATTGCTTCTTAGGAATTCTCATACAATGTGCTTTCATCATATCCATCCCCTCCCACAGCTCTTCCCAGATCTACCCCCTCTTCCAACTTTGTGACCTTTTGTAAAAATCTATCAAAACCAAAAAGTGCTGTAGTGGCTACACTCTTAGTGAAAACTGATATAAATTGCTAATAGCTCCTAGGCTAGGGATGGGACTTCATGCCCACCTCCCTTCTCCATGCTGGCCTTTCATATGGTTTGGGCTTGCACAGGTCTTGTGTATGCCGTCATAGTTGCCATGACTTCATATGGGCAGCTGCATTGTTATCTCCAGAAGGTAACATTTTCCTGTAGTCATCTACTGCCTCTGGCTCTTAGAGCCTTTCACAACTATCCCTGGCCTTGGAAGGACAGGAGAAGGTATACACGTCCATTTAGGGATGAGCATTCTGAAGTCTTTTACTCTCTGCACCTTTCCCATCCATGGGTCTCTGGGGTAATCACCATCTACTGCAAATAGAAGCTTATTTGATGAGGGTTGAATGATGCCATAATCTATGGATACAACAATAAATCATTAGGAGCTAGTTTAATACAAAGTCCATTTAACAAAATAATAGTTGTTTCTCCCTAGGGCCTATCTAACCGTTGGTTCTTTGCCCAAAATTGATGCCAAATATGGCTTTCATCTTGATGAACAGACTTTAATCAGGAAGTAGCTGCTTACTCCCATGATGTTCATGCCACTTTTTCACCAGTGAGCAAGTCTGGTCCATCATTACTGTAGCTCAGGGGGTTCACAACTAAGTAAGATTAATGGTGACTTTTCACATCTGGTAGCATGCATAGTGCCTTCCAGCAGACCTAAAGCTGTACACAGGCTATTCTATTCACATATCGAATACTATACCACTCACTCTCTGATCTCTATCCCTGCTGCAGCCCTATTTAAATAATGAAACTATCTTCATCTGTTCACTTAGCCCTTGATTTCACTTTAGATCTCCCCTCAAACTTTCCTATCAGCTTTCCTTGTTTCATGTCCCCCAAACAGCATCATCATTCTTATTTTCTTGAGACAAGAACTTAATGCATAGCCTGTCCAACCTCAATCTCCCCATTGTCTTGCTTTGGCCTCCCAAGTGCTGATATTATAAATTCACATCACATCTGGATGTATAATTTTTACAAATGGACTTTTACACATCTGGAACCAACACTGTAAAATAAAAAAAATACAATGGTTATAATTTGTGCTTATCTGTAGATTCTTTGGTAGAATATCTTCTGCATGTCATGAGCCACAGATAGTAGTCCACCAATCACAGTTCCTATTAGAGTGGTGTTCAATCTGTGTACATATGACTGAATACATTGCTAACTGTTTCTTTGCCTAGTTTGAAACATCAGTTTTTTTTCTGGATTTTTCTCTGAAGCCCAAATTGTTTGTGGGGCTGGTAACAGTTTTGAAACAGGAAGTATTTCCCCTGGAGGAGAAGTTCCTGATGGTAACACCTCCTCCTGCAGAGCCTTCTTTAGCTCTGCATCCGTCATCCATGGGCCACTCCTTAAAATGGAGGCACTCCTCAGCAAGGCATGGCTTCCTCCTGAAGATCTGCCATTAAGAGTGACATGTTGCTTTTAGCTCCCTAACCAAACAGAGGATCATTACACATTTGGCGACCAGCCTCACTTTGGTTGACTTCATGCTTGAGTCTGATAATCACAGTGTTAAAAACTTCATGTGTGTTTGAAAGAGGTCTCAGAACTGGCACTGTCCCGTGAGAGACTGCTAAATTGTAGGATTCAGAAGATGTTCCTTTGGTAAACAGTGGAAGTCTGAACAACTCAAAATATCTTCTCAAAGCACATCCGACCTTCAGTCTGGAGACAGTAGAGATGAGAGAACACACAGGATGGTAACCTTGAAGTTATTTTTGGTGCCTCTATTCCATTTAGTTTAAGGTCCACTGAATCTGATTGTTCTTTCCTACTCTACTGTCAACCCACATCTCCTCTCACCTGGACTATTGCATCAGATGTTCACAAGTCTCTAGAGCCTTCGCATCCACCACCACCATGTCACCAACTCAGTTATTTAGAGTGATCATTAATCAATTTTAAAAGCACCATTGTGAGACAACCAAAAGATCTTTAATGGGACCTTCTCAGTCATCCTCGAGGTTTAATTATAAACTCTTGAATTTGAGTCATCCCTATCACATTATCTCTCAAGTTTCTATTTATTCTCCTACTTCCTACAATGCCATCTTATTTTTCTTTTCACCTGTGTGTATGTGCATGCATGCATGCATGCATGTATGCTTATGTGTGTGTGGAACTACATGGGTAGGTGCATATGTGTGTAAGGTTGGAAGTGCATGCATGTGCACATGCATGTAGAGGCCCAAAATGTCTTCCTCCATCTATTGAAGCAAGGTCTCTGGCTGAACCCAGAGTTCGTCATTTCCACTCATCTGGAATAGCCAGTATGCACGAGGGATTCTGTCTCTGCTTTCTGTGTGCTGGGATTACAGGTGGGTTGCCATACACACCCAGATATTATATGGGGTTTGAAGAGCTGAATTCTGGTCCTTCTGTCTACATGGCAATGGGTTTATCTGACAAGCAGCAGACATTTCCACCTGAGAGTTACAAGTGGCTCACAAAGCTCCCTCATCTTGGCAGCTGACTAGGAAGCAGAGAGCTTGAGGATGAGATGCGGCCAAGCTAGCACCCTCACTCTCTACCCTGGTGGCTCTGTCTGCCAGCTAGGCCCCATGTTCTTCAATCTTGCAAAGTAATCTCATCTTCAGGGAATAGACTTTAAACAGCAGAGTCTGGGAGAAGACTTCCACATTCAAACCATACCACTGTGCTTTCACCTCTATGTACACATCTTACACTGTCCTATGTATAGTTTCAAGGACACATATTTTAACACCATCTTTTCTTTGATGAGAAGAAATAAGTGGCTAAATTAAAAGACATCAGATTAGAAAGCAAATACTGGAGAAGCCAAAAAGCAGTACTGATTAGATTTGTCATTTTGAACAAGTAGCTGACTTCACTTCTGTTTCAACTTTCCCATTGTACAATGAAGAAGAAAGGCTCCCTAGTTTCTTTGAGCTCCTGGATTCATTACTTGTCTATGCTGTGATAAAACACCATGACCTATGCTCCTCATAGAAAGGAGGGTTTATTTGGGCTGACGGTTCCAGAGGGACAGGGGCCGATCACCTGCAAGGTGGGGAAGCATGGCAGCAGGCAGGCATGGTGGCCAGAGCAGCAAGCTGAGTGCTCACATCTCAAACAGCAAGCACAAGGCAGAGAGAGTAAACTTAAAATGGTGCAGGCCTTTCACCTCTCAAAACCTGTCTCCAGTGACATACTTTCTCCAACATCTCCTAAGCCTCCCCAAACAAAACCACCAAATGGGGATGGAGCATTTCAAATGCCCGAGACTATGGAGGGATGGTTCTCATCCAAACCATCACAGCTGCAGTTTCTATGATAGCCGCTAAACTCATAGAAAAGAATACCATAGGGAGGAGACCCTGCCTGCAACATTCTCATGACAATAAAAACCAGAGAAATTTCATACTCAACGGACCTTCTAGGGTGATCATGTTCAAGCAGGTCACAAGGGTGGTTCTTTGAAATCAACTTTATCCTATGGAAATATTAATTTAGAATCTGAAAATAGAATGGAAATGGGCTTATAAGTGTATACACATCTGCACATATGAATCCCCACAGAGAGAGACTATGAAACCTTTGAAGTTTCTTTGAGATAAATGAAACCCATAAGAGACTGATCAGCTTCTTGTATTGTCACCTTAAGGAATTTCTAAAACACCCCCAAACATTGAACAACAGCCAGAATCCTTGTTGACTGAGCTCCAGATCCACCCATTCTCCTTCTTAACTATTCTTAAAGATGAGCCATAGCAAGAAATACACACATGGGTGCAGTGTGATCCTCCAACAATTGAACTGGCTGAAACAGCTTTCTAAACATTAGCAAGGAGCAAGGTAGAAGCCCTTGAAGTATACTGCTGGTGAGAGTGTAGTTGGCAGGTTGTCTGGATTGGTACTGATGCAGACGTGTAGATGTGAATATCAGAGCTTGAGACCTAGCACATCCACCCTTGGACGTGTAGATGTGAATATCAGAGCTTGAGACCTAGCACATCCACCCCTGGGAATTGTCCTTTAAAGAAGATGTAGCCAGGAGCTGGTGTGTAAGGATGGATGACTGACTCAGCAGTCATTATAATATGAGTTTTTTAAAAAAAAAAAAAATATTAAGCAGCCTAAATACCCTGCAAAGAGGAAAGTCTGTGTTATATTTACATGGGTAAAACACTAAATAACCATCAAAAATTATAAAATACCAACCCAAGTGAGGAACATGAACCTAATGTAATATGTGAAACAAGCCTGAATAACCTGTATTGCTAATTAGATGAAAATGCTTGTCTATGCAAAGAATGTCTGGGAGATCAAAACGGGGAAGCATCGACTGAATTTTTCTTCTCTGTCCCTTCCTAGTTTTCCAAAATTCCCATCACTGTTATTTTACTGTTTAGAAAAGCAATTGAAGAAATAATGCCAGTAATTTTATATCGAAACTGATAATAATGAAGCATGAAGGATATGTCAATGAGGAAAAACTTGGAAAATGTTTTTCCTTGAACTCCAAGGCCATATTACCTTCATTGAATGTTACAAATGCCTTTGTTAAACACTGACTGCCTTAGTCACCTTCTAATTAAAATGGTGATAGATGAGCTCCTATTGTAGATAATGAAGTTATTTACAGCAACACTAGATTCTGGGTCTTTACAGATGAATAATGTCCTCCTTAGATGTACATTAGCAGTTTAGGCCTACATTTGCTTTATAGTGATGTTATTTAGTGTGCCATAAAAGTAATTTTAAGTATCACCACCTGATAATTGAAAGATAAGCCTCTCTGGGTTCTGCTTAACTGTTATTTTCCCCTACATAAAGCTGTCTGTCTCCTGCCCTATCTCTGTTTACGAAAGCTTGGCCAGAATTACAATGTAAAGTCCCCAAGTCAGCATCTGTGTGTCTAACCTCTTATGCCCAGTCACCTTATAACCTCTGCTGAGCTGTTCCTCACCACTTCACTTGGTGCTAACTAGAGAACCAGGGCCATAAAGGGGTCGTGATGAGAACTGTAATGAGTCTTTCTCTGTACCTCCAGCTCCCAAATATTGACATGGAGACTTATAAGTAATTATGAAAGCTCAGCCATAGCTTAGGCTTGTTCTCAGCTAGCTCTTATAACTTAACCCATTTATATTAAACTACATTTTGTCACGTGGCATTAGCTCATCTCTGTAGAGCTCATCTGTAGCAGGAATCTTAAAAGTTCTTAATAATAAAATCAAACCTGAGGCCAGTTATCGGGGTCAATGCTGGTAGATCAGAGAGACAGAACAAGCCACAGCTATCTCACCTCGCCGGATCCTCAACTGGTCTTGTCTCCTCAGACTGGAGGCTTCTGAGTCCTCATCCAGAATGGGTCTCAGCTGAATTACTGCTCAAAAGCCAAAATGCTTAACCAGCCAAATGCTTAACCAGCCAAATGCTTCTAGTTTCTGGTCCTCACGCCTTATATATCTTTCTGCTTTCTACCACCACTCCCTGGGATTAAAGGCTGGCTTTCTGGGATTAAAGGCGTGTGTCACCATGCTTGGCTATTTCCAACGTGGCCTTGAACTCACAGAGATCCAGAGGGATTTCTATCTCTGGAATGCTAGGATTAAAGGCGTGTGCTATCACTGCCTAACTAGTGGCTTGTCTGTTCTCTGACCCCAGATAAGTTTATTAAGGTACACAATATTTTGGGGAACACAATACCACCACACTCATCCTGTTTTCTCTGCCTCTGGCTGGCAACTCTGACTTCTTGACCATGGTCTGTCTGTGTATGGAAGTCCTACCTATTCTCTCCTTCCTAGCCATTGGCCATTCAGCTCTTTATTATACCAATCACAGCATTACGTCTTCACACAGTGCACAAACATCCCACAACAGAGAGCCCTTTGTCTGTGTGAGGAAGTGGGTGACCAGACAAGAATGTATGAGGGAGTTATTTGTAAAGTGTATAAGGACTGTTTGATGCACTGGTATTATTTTTATTCTCAGTCTTGCTCATTAGCTAATCCATAATGAGGACTCAAGATAGTTTATGTCAGCACTGGCCAGTCACCTTTATTTGAGAAAATAACCCTGTGAATGGAGACATCCCATTCAGAAGCTGAAAATTGCCATCATGTACTAGAATTTGGGTGACCGGAGTGATCATATCTAAGATCCCTCCCAGTATGGAAGTCAATTTTTATCTCTTACAGGGACAAGTAAGAAATGTATAATTACTTTTATGTATATTTTTTGTTCTTCTTTTTGTACATTTAGGAAACATCTTCATTAGTTTTGGGAATCAGAACCATGTAAATAAGACCTTACATATTTAATATAGTGTATAACCCTTGTACTATTGAAAACAAAATAAGTTCAATATTTCTAGACCAATGTGGCTGTTAATTTCTGTAATGTCAACTCAACACAGAAAATTAGGATTCTTTTCTCCAAAACTGACAAAATAGTTTGTTTTGAAAAAATTATACACACACACACACACACACACATATATATATATATGTAATATATATTACATAAATATACCAAAAATAGCAATATATTCTGCAGCAATTTTTAGTAGCAACAGCTTTTCTGGGATCTGTAGTCATTTGAACAAATTTGTAGAGACATCCAGCACACTTTATTTTTTAAAAAAGAATAAAAATATCCCAGAAAACAGCACAGTTCTGTTGCTCTTATTTATGCCTTTCTATGGTGATAATTTAATTTTGTCAATGAAATAGTGAGCCTGACATGAATATCCCAGAGCCTATTGAGAATGCAGTTAAGTATGCATTGAATCCCAAAACCTAAGTCTGCACGTTCCCATGCCCACTACATCACTGTTGAGAAGAGTGTTTCTAGACAGGTATCCACATGTCTGTGGTTATGCTCTTCTACATTGGGGTTTATGTTTTCACTGACAGAGTTCATGTGAAAATGAGCATTGAACTCTGTTCCAAACTTCCGTGGAGTCTTTGTGTGCCTGGCTAGTGCCCATCTGCTGCCTTTTCTGGAGATGCTTGAAAGCACTGAGAAGGAAGAAGACTGCAGAGAGACTGAACCATCCATAGAAATGTGTCTGAATCCTAGCTTCACATGAGCATCACCTAAAAATGTTTTCAATAATTCTGAAAGTGCATCTTCAATCCTGAGAGTCTAAACTAATCAGTCTGTGGTAGGAATCGGGTTTTACTCTTATTTTTAAGTCCACAGGTCATCTGAGTGAAGTGGTTGTCAGGCTTGAGCATGTATCAGAAGCACTGGGAGGGGTTGTTACAATCCTGGGCTTCACTTCCAAGAATGAGGCTTTCTAGCAAGTTCTCACATCCTGGAAATCACTGACTTACACTGAGATCTGAGTGGCAGCCTCTCTTGACTTGCTGTGGTCTTCATCTTCTGCAAAAGGGAATCAAATCCGCCACATCTACATTGCTGTAGAGATGTATGCAGACAATGATCTGAAGTCACCGTGAGGAATGGCGTTAAGCACAAGCTTGTTGACACCCTACGCCTTGGGAATCCTGGGGATTAAATGGGGTGACGTCTAGAACACCACAGGAGATGTGGATGGCACTGTAGTGGAACCTCAGCAGCAGGAGCCCCAGCAGTTGGAATAGAAGTGATGGTTTCTGTAAAAGAAATTGTACCTCCCAGGGATGAGAAGGCATCATCTTGTAAACATTACAAAAATAACCAAAGTGACAGAAAGCAGGAGTTTCCAAGGACGCACCAATAAGTATTCAAAACACTATAATGAAACCCAAGACGTTCTCACTACTCATTTATTGTTATCACCAGAAACAGACCTTCAGTGCTGGTTCTTCAAAGAGCCAGTGCGCAAGAACCAATTATGGCTCTCATAAATATGTTAATGAAGAGGTATGTGAGTAGACAAAAACCTCAACATATAATACAATTTAGTAGCAGACATAGTCCTTGAATATTAAAAGTTCAAAGGAGGAAGACCATTTTATAGTTTCTGTGTTGCTGTAGTAGAACGCTCAAGGCTGGCTAAGCTCTACCAACTGAAGGTCACCTGTTTGTGATTCCAGATTCTGAGAAGTCCACTACGCCAACATGGAATGGGCATCTGCTAGGAACCTACATGCTGCCTCATCCCGTGGTGGATGTGAGAAGGGCAAGACAGTGCACATGCTAGAAAGGACATCTCCCTTTTCCTGTGATAATGGCATTGTCTACTCATGTGAGCATCATCTTCAGGAGTTTGAGAAGGGGCATTTATGCTGGAGAGACAACTCAGCTGTTAAATGATAAGCTTAAAACCAAAACATCAAGAACAGGGATGTCCAAACCACACAGTGTGGTAGACAATGACCTTGAAAGGATATGTACTGTTCACTAGATTCCAGGGGCTGTGATGGGGGGGGGGAGTAGGGTGTGGGTCTAGCTCCTTCAGATTTTCAAAGAGCTACTTATGGGTCTGTCTCAGTAACTGAGAACAGTAACCTAAATGAGCACGAAGTGAAGACAAGTGGAGCTGCGTGGGAAATGCCTCAAGGGTAGGAGCGCCAGTGTGAATGCCCAAATAATGCCCAGGGGTGGTGATTACAACTTCTGCTTACAGCTCCCACCTACAGCAAGGCCAACATTCTTGCTTGTCAGCTTGACATCTAACATGAACTAAATTCCAAGCGACTGGTTACACCTGTGAGAGATCTTTCTTGATTGGATCTGTTGAGGTTGGAAGACCCACCTTAAATCTGGGCCACACCTTCTCCTGGCAGCTTATATAATGGAAAGGGAAAGAGGCAGCTTTTGCTGCTTGCCTGTTTGCCCTCACTCTCACTGGCAAGGTCATTCCCTCACTGGTATTAGAGCCTACTTCTTCAGGATTCTGGTGAATACTGAAGACCAGCTGAGACAGCCAGCCTAATGGACTGAACAACTACTGGATTCTTGGACTTCCCATCAGGAGACAGCCATTGTTGACTAGGCCACAGCCTGTAAGCCACTCTATTAAATCCCCTCTCTATATATTCATTCTACCAGTTCTGTTCCTCTACAGAACAGGTGATGGAGGTACTGGCAATCTCCTCTCTAGTGATCTTAAAACAAAAACAAAATGTAAAACAAACATCATCTTTGGTGCATGAGTTAAGATACCCTTCAAGAAGCATGAAATTTGCAGGCAAATGGATGGAACTAGAAAAAATCATCCTGAGTGAGGTAACCCAGACCCAGAAAGACAGTCATGGTATGTACTCACTCATAAGTGGATTCTAGATATAAAATAAAGAACAATCAGACCACAACCCATAGAACCATGGAGGCTATATATATAGCATGGAGGTCCCTAGGACAACTGTGGCTTATAATAAATTTCAGTTTTACTCAATTATTGAAAAAAATAGCCAAATGAATGGAAACACATGAACTATGAATCAAAGGCTGAGGGGCCCCCAGCTGGATCAGGCCCTCTGAATAGGTGAGACAGTTGACTGGCTTGATCAGTTTGGGAGGCAACTAGGCAGTGGGACCAAGTCCTGTGCTCATTGCATGAGTTGGCTGTTTGAAACCTGGAGCTTATGCAGGAACACTTGGCTCAATCTGGGAGGAAGGGACTGGACCTGCCTGGACTGAGTCTACCAGGCTGATCGCAGTCCTCGGGTGAGGATTTGCCCTGGAGGAGGTGGAATGGGGGGTGGGCTGGGGGTAAGGGGAAAGGGTGGGAGGGGGGAGAATAGGGAAACCCGTGGCTGATATGCAGAACTGAATGGTATTGTAAAATAAAATAAAAAAAGATACCCTTCAAGAAGGTTTGGAGATGGACAAGGGTTCTTACCAATAAGCTTTTCCTAGGTTTGCCTTTCTAGGTTTACATCATGTCCATGACAATGTTTAAACACAGAAGAGCTATGTCTTAAGTGTAAGAGGATTATAAAAGCAAGCTCTTTGGGAAAATAGAAGTAAGAATGAAGTTAAATCAAAAACTGGCCATCACCAGAAGTGCTTGGATGATCTGATTAGTTTATTTTGAATATTTTATGTTTAAAGAATGCCAATGCTAAGTGGTACATAGAATGTTGGTACTGCAACATATTCTGTCATGACTCAAAACTCCTTCCAGGCTCTCCAAATGCCAGAGCCTTCACATCAATTCTCCCCTCACAGGTCAGTGTTGTGGATGGAGAAGACTGTCCCCAGCACACAGTATTAGAAGTGACTGTGTGGGATTATATCCTGGGATCTGCCTGTGGGTCATGTGACTTTCTCATCAAGGTGTAATATGAAATGCAGTCTATCTATAAACATCAGCTATGTGAACTTTTACATTCCTTCCAGTATCTGACCTGCAGTCATAGAACTTAGTAATAGAAAGGATGTTCCCTGATGAACAGATCCTATACTATGACCTCATCTCCCCTGCCTCCCAAGAAACTCAGGAACATCTAGGGTCATGACCAAGCTTGGCCATCACTGATGCTGCAGATATTTTCTCACATTTTGAAGCAGATGAAACCTTATCCTTAGGTCTGAATGACCTTGGACATCCAAGGTTTGAGAAGCAGAGAGGAGGAACCTGCCCTTCCATAAAGAAGTAATTCCTCATGT